GAAACTTCACACTGGACTTCAAGCATCTTGCAGTGTGTGCCTCTCCATTCTTCCTCCAAACTCTGGGTCCTTGGTTTCCAAATGAGATGCAAAAGTTGCTCTCATCAGAAAAGAGGACTTTGGACCACTGAGCAACAGACCAGTTCTTTTTTTCTTTAGCTCAGGTAAGACGCTTCTGACATTGTTTGTTGTTCAGGAGCAGCTTGACAAGAGGAATACGACATTTGAAGCCCATGTCCAGGATCTGTCTGTGTGTGGTGGGTCCTGATGCACTGACTCCAGTATCAGTCCACTCCTTGTGAAAGTCCCCAACACTTTTGAATGGCCTTTTCCTGACAAGTCTCTCCAGGCTGCGGTCATCCCTGCTGCTTGTGCACCTTTTTCTTCCACACTTTTCCCTTCCACATAACTTTCTATTAATGTGCTTTGATACAGCACTTTGGGAACATCCACTGACAAGGGTGTCAGTGATGGTTTTCTGCACAACTGTCAGGTCAGCAGTATTTCCCATGATTGTGATTCCTACTGAACCAGACTGAGAGACCATTTAAAGGCTCAGGAACCCTTTGCAGGTGTTATGGCTTAATTAGCTGATTAGAGTGGGACACTTTGAGCCTAGAATATTGAACCTTTTCACAATATTCTAATTTTCTGAGATTGTGAATTTGGGGTTTTCATGAGCTGTAAGCCATAATCATCAAAAGTATGACAAATCAAGGCTTGAACTATCTCATTTTGCATGTAATGAGTCTATCTCATATATCAATTTCACCTTTTAAGTTGCATTACTGAAATAAATGAACTTTTGCACAATATTCTAATTTTTCGAGTTTCACCTGTAACTCTCTTCCCCTGGATATGACCTGCATAACTCTATTCCCCTGCATGATGCAATACTTGCAAGGTCATAACCCTAACTGTAGAGTTGAATTTAGGTGTGTTGAACCTAATCCCATCAAAAAAAGGATGACAGTCAACCCAGGGATACATGATTAGCTTAATGCTAAACATAATTCTAGGCAGCAGAGTGTTTGGGAGACAAACCCTATTTTGTGCATTGTAAAATAAATAATAATCTAATATGCTTTTAATTTTGATGGTGTTTTAAAAAAGAACAATGCTTTGAATACAGGAAAAAGGAGTCCCAAAAATGAAGCCCCAGCCTGCATTTGTCCCCTTTCTTCGAAAAGGTTTCATTCTCAAGAGATTTTAAAATCATTCCCTCAAGTGTACAAAGTACTTTTTAAATCACAACAATCCCAGAGTGATTAACTTAACCCTGATCCCAACTCCAAATCTATATAGGTCCAAATAAGTATCAAATGAAATGAAATCTACAGGCAGCTTTACCTTTTGTAAAAGTTAAAAGTTGCTTGGAAATTTTAACCTGAAAATACAAGTGTGTATGCGCACATACCAAAAAAAAAAAAATGTGTACATATATTTGCAAACAGGTATGTGCATGCAGACACCATATAGGCTTGGGGTAAAGGGTGGCAAATGCACCTCATGGGTGCATCTTTTTCCTGCTTTCCAGGAGCTGATTACTTAAAACTCCACAAAAATTAAAAGCCTCGTTAGGGTATTATTTATTTGACAAACACAATGGGATAGGTCACGTTGATTGGCCAATGGCCTTAATAAAATTTGTTGTTGCTGTATGGGCTATTTGATATGAACCAAGAAAAGCTTCTCAGACATTCCAGCTCAACTCTTCCTTTAATAAATTGTCATAAAGATCAGCTAGCCAATAAAAAACAATGCATTTTATAAGCAAAAAGTTTTTGAAATTTATTTCAGAAGTATTAAAAACCATGCCTTGCAATGCTGCTTTATTGTATCATTTAAAATAATGTACCATTTAAGAAGACGCTGTATCTTTCCCAAGATTCTGTTAACAAAAATATAGTATCTGCAGAGTTTTGCTTCAAGTGGCACCTTCAACTGGATCTTAGCTAGGCCAGCTGAGGTTTGTCAAAAGATGAACTCATTACTCTGGAAACTATAAAAGATACGGATCAGATCAGCATTTGTCTGGCTGTGATGTATAAGAGATCCAGCTGCAACACTTTGGCCTCCATTCTTCATAATTTAAAGCTACATTTATCTAGTTATGCCTTCAAAAACATTTCTCATCTTTTCATGAATCACACATTCCTGCTGTCTAATTGGGGTTAATAAGGAGAAGACATTACTCCTGATTTATTTTAGATACGACTGAATGAATTTATACTGCAATACTTCAAACATTTCTACATTAGGAGTGAGTTTCATTCTGGTAGAACAGGCTTAGCTACAGCTAAACATAAAAATTGCAGGCATTAATTTTTTCAAGATTGATCACTGCCTGTGGAATCTTGGAAATGGATCAAAATCACCATCAATGAGTAGTCTGATCATCTTTGTGAAATGCAGACGAACTTAATCTACAGTGTAGGGATGGACGAAAGGCAGTATCAGTGTCATATTTTGAGGTGTCACAAATTATTCCAGAATAGAGCACCAAGGCATCCAAACATGCTAATTTACTGCTGCAAAAATAGAACATCTGTCTGTCACAACAGACAGCTAAGATTCATATACTGTTACCTTTGAAAGTAACTTTTCTATATGCTGTTCAGCTGGGCTAGAGTACGTTTTCATATATCATGCTGGTGGATAGTCATAATTCCTTGGGGTATTTGAAATGAAAGATGCTACATCATAGAACTGACTTGCTAAATGAAGTGTGCTGTTGTAGCTATTCGTATCTTTAGAGGAGATATAGTGTTGCAATTGTAAATCCAGTCAACTTGTAAGTACTGTAAGTACCACTGAATCTAACAAAATAAATGTCTATGTAAATGACTGAAACATTTCAAGATAGTCAAGTAGCTTCAGGTTGAACTTAAATGCAGCCTGTTCACAGAGATACTTACTTACGTGATTACCAATAATCAAGCATCATGTCTGTATAGGTAGTCCTCGACTTATGACCACAATTCAGCTTATGTTGCTAAGCAAGACAGTTGTTAATGAGTTTTGCCCCATTTTATTACCTTTTTTACTGTAGATATTAAGTGGATTACTGTAGTTGTTAAGCTATAACATAGTTGTTAAGTGAATCTGGCTTCCCATTGACTTGTCAGAATGTCGCAAAAGGTGATCACATGACCCTGGGACACTACAACCGTCATAAATACAAGCATCCAAATTTTGATCACATGAACATGGGAATGCTGCAATGGTCATAAGCATGAAAAAGACTCAGTGCTTTTGTAACTTTGAACATTAAACAAATGGTTGTAAGTCAAGGATTACCTGTATCCAATGACTACAATGTTTTTTAAATCAACAACATTGCATGATAGCTAAGAAAGAATCGTTTCAATCAAGTATCATTTAATAATAGCAACTGCTAAAAATGGCTGTATGAATCAGGCTCATAAAATGATTCCATTTACACATGCAGACACAAAAGCAGCTTTTCCAACTTTATTATTGTCCATTAATAATATTGCCTGATCAAAATATTTTAGCATGAAGAGTCCTGAAAGTAAAAAAAAAAAAATTACACGTAACGTTTGGATGAGGACACTCCATTCACTTCACGCTCAATATTTTATCCCCATGGGCATTGCTTATTTAGTCTTAAGATTACATTGTTGTGTACTAGGTTTCTCTGGAAACTCCTTAGCCAAGTTTTCCTAGTCAATCATTTACTGTATCCAACTCTACAAATAGGACATGCAGTACAGTATCAGCATGCCTTACATTTCCAGAAGATATGATGAACCCAGAAGTTTGTTTGGGTTTGTTTTTCTAGATCACAAAGCTTCTGCATTTATATCAAGAACAAATGAATTCCTATTTTGAAATAAGCTAAAGAAGTTGGTAAAGGTACATGCCTTTGCTTTGCTTGTGTAATTTATTCTATTTTCAAGTTCCAGATTTCTTTTAATAGTCTGACATTTTTGGCAGAGAACAGATCAATAAAGAAGACTGTACTGGGGACATTCTAACCCTAACTCAAAAGCAGGACAGGAGGAATGAGAATGGCATGCGGGCACAGTCCTATAAATAAATATGCTACAAGTAAGGTGATGAGGAAAATTGCGTCGGGGCTTCAGATCAGACACACAAGCCGAAGAGCTGTTATTACTGAACTTCGACTCAGGCCAAAATCATGAGAAAAGCAAAGAAGAAATCAGATGTTTTCCCAGAGCCTGAACTGAGGAAAATGTAGAGGTAGTGGAAACAGAAAGCAATTCCCAACAAACCCTTACATTGCTGAAAATTCTGTTCTATGGACCAATTCAATCCACATTTGATGGAGTATTTGCTCAGCTAAGAGAAAAGAGAAAAAGTGTGCACACAGACACCCATATACAGGCATGCACAAAGGAAAAGAATGGAGGAGTTTAGATATACAGGTAGTCCTTGACTTACAACCTCAGTTGAGCCCAACATTTCTGTTGCTAAGCGAAACATTTGTTAAGTGATTTTCCCCCCATTTTACGACCTTTCTTGCCATAGTTGTTAAGTGAATCACTGAAGCTGTTAAGCTAGGAACATATTGGCTAAGGGAATCTGGTTTTCCCATTGATATTGCTTGTCAGAAAGTTGCAAAAGGGATCATATGACGGGGGACCCTGCAACCGTCATGAATATGCATCAGTTGGCAAGCATCCAAATTTTGATCATGTGACCCTGGGGATGCTGCAGCAAGTGTGAAAAACGGTCATAAGTCGCTTTTTCAATGCTGAAAAACGGTCACTAAACAAACTGTTGTAAGTTGAGGACTACCTGTAAAAATGTTAGATTGTGTACTACTATAAACTGTGGAGCCAGTAAGGCCTGGTGTTTCTAAGAGCATTGTTTCGAGTGTGCCCACACCAACTGCACTTGCTATGTCTTTGCCATCGGGGAAGGGAGCCAAAGCAAGGTGCGTAGGGATATCCGAAGGTCAGCTCCTCAAGTGCAGCCTTTATGTCCTCCGGTTGGCTGATCTGTTTACACCCAAGGCAGGGCAGGCAGACAGACGTTGAGGCTGCCTTACCTGCAGAAGACTGGAAAGAATTGCTGCTCCTCTGTAGGGCTTTGGCATAGGCCATCAAACGATGGCGTGCTGGTTTTTTAGAGATGGGGCGTTTAATAGTGATGGGAGGTGGCTTAGGAAAAAAATAAGGCTTAGGGATGATGGGGGGCTTAGGGACAGAGGGAATCTTGGGCACAGAGGGGGGCTTGGGCACAGAGGGAGTCTTGGGCACAGAGGGAGTCTTGGGCACGGAGGGGGGCTTGGGCACGGAGGGAGTCTTGGGCATGGAGGGGGGCTTGGGCACGGAGGGAGTCTTGGGCAGGAGGGGGGCGTGGGCACGGAGGGAGTCTTGGGCATGGAGGGGGGCGTGGGCACGGAGGGAGTCTTGGGCATGGAGGGAGTCTTGGGCACGGAGGGGGTCGTGGGCACGGAGGGAGTCTTGGGCACAGAGGGAGTCTTGGGCATGGAGGGGGTCGTGGGCACGGAGGGAGTCTTGGGCACGGAGGGGGTCGTGGGCACAGATGGAAGTTTGGGAGTGGAGGGGGTCTTTGTAGTTGTGAGAGTAGTTACAGGTTGCTCAGTTTTGATCAAGGATGTTTGGGTTGTGATTAAGACATCAGCAGAAGTTGGATGCTTTGTGCCAGTAGTTTCTGTTTCAGGAGAAATAGAAGATGGGATTAAGTTTACAAAAGACGTAGCACTGGTTGTGGTCATCAAGGATTCATCAATCCCATCCGTGCCTGTCTGCAGGTCAGGTACTGTAAGATCCACATCCGACCCTTCTGTCACAATGGGTTGTGCTTCTGTGCCAATTGGGAAGCCTGAAGTGGTGCCTTGATCATCTGTAGTGGGAGGTTCTGATCCTGTTTCAGTGCCAGTTTGGGGACTTTCTGGTATGTGTGCTGTTGAAACTGTTATGATGGACTGAAAACTTGGGCTTGCAGTTAGGATAGTAGTTGCTTCCGACTCAGGGGCTGTGGGTGGTACAGTAGTTTCTTCTACATCAGCATCTGGTAGAAAATACAGATTGACAGCAAGTCAGCAATAATTTGTGGGGCAGGGAAATAGCACTGCACTTTGACACACATTTTTATGCTGCTGGAAGGGATTGCTGTGTATATGACTCTGGTGGCTATCCCAGGTTGAAAATTTTGGATGCCTTTAAAAAGCAGCACATAGACATTTGCTTTTAAATTAAATCTAGATGCCATCTGGATTTTAACAGATGCCGATGTTGCTTAGTTGGTGCTCTGGAAAGCTCCATTGCAATCCATTATAAGGAATTCCGAGTTCAGACATTTATTTCATAAAAGATGAAACAAGCATTTGTGCCTCCCAGAGGCACTGCAACTATTTAGAGCATCATTTAAATGGGATTCCATTAGGATGCAACAAAAGTTAATTATTTAGTTTGGGCTTCACCAGCCTGGGTGCCAGATTAGGAAAAGGTTATTTAATTCTTATATTTTTAAACAATATCAAGAAGAAGGATTTTCTATCTCAGACAACAGATTTATTCTCATATTTAGCATCGATTGACATAAAATACTGTGAAGAGATTAAGCATGTACACATATCCATTAGCATTGGTTTCCTCATACCTCATGCATAACTTACTTGGCTGCTTATCTCATACAGTGATTCCAGGCAGCTCACAACAATCCATAAAAACAATATAACAATAGATTATATTCTTTCCTACCCCTCCATACCCACCAGAGCATTGGTGGCACAGTGGTTAGAATGCAGCATTGCAGGCTAACTCTGCCCACACACCAGGAGTTCAATCCATATGGGTTGACTCAGTGTTCCATCCTTCCAAAGTCAGTAAAATTAGAACCCAGATTGTTGAGGGCAATATCCTGACATTTGTAAACTGCCCAGAGAGTGCTATATAGTAAAGCACTATAGGGCAGTATATAAATCTAAGTGCTATTGCTATTCCCAGAACATTCATCTTCTGACCCAACCTTAACCTAGCCCAATTCTGGAGGGAAGAGACAAGATTTCACAACCTTCATAAATGCTAAAGGAAGGGAGGGCAAATTTATAAGGAAACTATTCTAAAGGACAGGATGGCTAAAGAGAAGAGGTCCCTGTGAGTTCCATAAGATGACAATGCTTAAGGAAAAGGACTTGGACTACATCTATCATATCTGACTGGGGATGTCATGTTTGCAAACCACCATGAACTAGACATGTATCATTGTAATCAGACGTCATCAAGAAACCACGTTCCTAAGGACCAACTCGTGATTTTAATTAATTAATTAAATGCATATGGCTGCCTACTCACAGATCAATTCCAGGTGACTAACAGGGTTTAAAAAACATTGCTACAAAAAGCAACCATAAAAAAATAAAATGCATAACAAATCTAGAAGTAAGCACAACAAACATATTTCCATTTCCAGTAGAAATATTTGATTTGTGGTTACATGAGACAGAAAGCTTAGTTTGATCTCTTCTCTTATGTGCCTGCCCAGCCTAGTGCCTAAGAGGAAATCTAATTTTTCCAAACTTTATTAATGGGAGGGTTGGTGTTAGCCAAATCTTTTGAGAGAGGCTGTTCCATGAGGCAAGCATTGTGACTGAAAAGGAGCGCCTGTTTACTTGATGGAATCTAGAGCATGCCAATCCTATTGGATCTTGTAAAATAGGCAGTGATAATTAGAGACAGACTGTCCTGCAGGTCTTCTGCCATATCTAGATCCTATTTAGATGAACATCAATACCTTGTTTTGTACTAGTAATTCCACTGGTAATCAGTGCAGCTCATGCAGTAGTAGTTTACATACAGTAAGCATACTAAGATGCACCCATAACTATTCATGCTACTACGGCATCAGCTATAACTATAAGATGTCTTCAAGGACAACACCATGGAACATGTATTGCAATAGTCCAAATGAGAAATCTATGACATAAATGATTGTGAGTATAGTCTCCCATGCATTGTGTGCTATTTGCTATGAATGCAAAGCACACAAAATGAACTATGCGAAGTTTCACCTAGCCACAGCTTCCAACTGCTTTATAGCAGGAGCCAAGAGTCTAGAAGATCTAAATTTCAGATCTCTTCTATCTGGAGAATTGAGAACCAATGCAGGTAGTTCGTGGGTTGTGAAGGCATTTGGGACTCGGATTGCCATTGCTAAGTGACGAGGTCATAAAGCACAATGTCACGTGACTGCATCTCTTAGCGACAGCGATCCTGACAGTCCTGGTTGCTGTCTTAACCATGGGACATTAAGTGGGAAAGGGTGGGAGTACCAGGTAAAGAGTGGGAGAGTATTGGGGACCAGGGGCTATATGATGCAAGTCCAGGGAGGTTGGGCAGGGGCTATTAGAGCTATTTGTGATCATCCCTACCAGCTTCTCATTTGCTTATGGGAAGCTGGAAACAAAGGTCACAAACAGCTATCACATAACTGAAGGTGCTCCAGCAACACCAACTGGTGTGAACCAGTTGCCAAATGACCAAACTGTGATCACATGACTAAAATCAAGGTGCACCAGCTGGAACTTTGAGAACCAGTCATAAGTACTACTCGTTCAGCACCATCATAACTTTGAACAGTCACTGAACGATTCTGGTAATCAGACCTTTCTGGAATTGAGTGGCTCCGATATCTATAAGCACCACTCAGTGTTGCCAAGGTTGAGCCTAAGTCACCTCCATCAGCCTCAGGCACTGCGACAAAACCTTAATAGCATCACTTGGTCAAATAGGGATTGAGATAAATAACTAGGTATCAGCAGTTACTGGGCCTAACCCAATGCCTTTGGATGACCTCCCTTAGCATCTTCATGTAGATGTTATAAGACCTGGAGAGAATTTTGAGCTATAAAGGACTTCATCATGAGAGAAAAATAGTCATTTATATCGTTCTTTTCCAATATAAACCTCAGTTGGAACTCTGGGGTAATTTGTCAGCAATAAATGTCCATATTTTAATCCGCTCATTATTCAAAATAGCATAGCTATGAGAGAGGATGAAGTAATCCCCTCATTACTTTGTTCTTGATGGATTTCAATTGAATATGTCACTGTCTCCATAGAAATATGTTTGATTTGTGGTCACATGAGACAGAAAGCTTAGTCAGAAATGTCTGATCTGTTTTATACATGCACTTTATCACAGTAATCGCAGTTACTGAATTATAAAAAAGTAAATCAGCTTCCCTCTTAGGACAGTAGAAGTCAAACACATCTACTGGTCATCAGTTTTTGAAATGGTGTATTAGCAAAGTAGCTACCAGCAACAGAATTAATTAAATTTAAATTCAACAGATAATCGTGGAGGAAAGAATTAATCTTCTAGGACATAAGCAAGATGCCTTTTTTTCAACCTGCAGTCACAGGGGAATATTTAGCCTCTCAAGTTCCACTGACTTACCACAGAGGTTGTTGTTGCAGAAGTAGCCATCTGGGCACATGGAACATGAAGCTCCCTCGATATATGGCTTATGTCCCCTTATATTTCCCCTAGGAATTAAAAAGTGAACATGTGATGCAGAAGAACAAAGCAGAAGCAGCTTGTTCCTCTCCTATAAAAGGTAGCAATCACTAAAATATAGAAGGTGGTCATCTTTGGTATCCATCAGTGATTATTTAATACCAGGAATTCCATAAGGAGAAAGAGCTAAGAAAAAGATGCTATGTCATTCTAGAATAATTTACATAAAAGGCTCATTTGTCCACATGCTTATGTATTCTGGACATTTACGTGTTTGTATTAAATTTCTAAGTATTTGTGTTTTTATTTGGAACTTTGGATTCTTTGATTCAGAGATGTCTGTGAGGGAGAGAAGTTAAAATAAAGTCAAGATGGCAACCACATCTGTTCAATAAAAATCTCATCCCATTTTTACATGTACCATATTGACAACACATTTCAAGAGAGTCATGGTCAGAGGTGGGTTTCAGCAGGTTCTGACCAGTTCTGGAGAACCAGTAGCGGAAATTTTGAGTAGTTCCGAGAACCGGTAGTAAAAATTCTGACTGGCCCCACCCCCATCTATTCTCTGCCTCCCAAGTCCCAGCTGATTGGGAGGAAATGGGGATTTTGCAGTAACCTTCCCCTGGATTGGGGTGGGAATGGAGATTTTATAGTATCCTTCCCCTGCCACACCCACCAAGCCATGCCACGCCCACCAAGCCACGCCCACAGAACCGGTAGTAAAAAAATTTGAAACCCACCACTGGTCATGGTGTCTTTTGTGTGGTCATAGTCAGCATCCTTACTTTCTAACACTATCCCCTAGGATGTTCCTGCTTTGAATGATGAAAAAGAGAATATAATTGTATTCATGTTAACTATATATTTATGTATTTACACCCCGAAAGTTAATTAACTACCATCCAGTGAATCCTTTACTGCAGAATGTAGGCTGCTTTAAGAAAAATATATATATTTAATTTTAAGATTGATACCGAGAATAATTGCAATTTAGGTAAGATGAACTCCTGAAGTTGGTTTACAATGAAATCTCTAGAGCTCTTAACATATTCTAGAACTAGAAACATACAATTAAATCCAGACAATTATTAATAGTAGATATTGTGATCAAATGTCAGTTATACTTTAATTAGAAATGGAATAATGCTTCTTTTGTACCAGGTAACATTATCTGATTAGCTGTTGTAGTAATTCTGAATATTTAATTCTATAAATTGTATTTATATTTTCTGTGGCTGACTTGCCTTGAAAGAAAGGAAAATATTACTAGGTCTACTCTATTTAATTGAATATACACAGTCATTTTGAACTATTCACTTTCAAAATAGGTTAACACTTAGCAAGATAATTTCATTTGCATATTCATTATTGATAATTGTTGTTTATTGATGATTATTGTTCATATTCGGGGTGTTCTTGGGGTAGGTGACCATGATGATAAGATTGAAGTTCTGCCCAATTTTTATATGTGTCAGGGTTTGCTATAGCTTGCATACACCCCTTCATACACACGTCATATTTTACAGGTTTCTAGCACAAGGGAGACATGCCAAGAAACAACCAAACCATCCAATCTTGCAAACTGCTGACACAACAGTTACACAACTATGTCACGCACTCTCACATAGTAAATGAGGCAGTTTTGTGGTGCACTCACAATGTTTGTATCTACATTTCGTGGGGAGCAATACTGACTTTTTCTGTGTCACCTTCTTCCTTGTTAGCAGATCCCTTTGATTATGGAATGGCTCACCCCACTGCAAAGCTGTTTGAAGCAACTGCCAGTGCAACAGCTGAGGAATTTCAGTCAGCACATCAAAACAATATATTCTCATGGATTGGTGGAGCCTTTTAATTCTTGCTTTGCAGTCAGTAGAATCCTGTTTGTGCTATTGATTTAGAAGAATATGTTTTATGCACCTGGTTCTTGCAGTTACTATCAACCTTAATTTTTCTAGGTCATTTATTCTGGTTCATTAGTTTTTCTATTATTTATTGGGCAGTGGGCAGTTCAGAAATTGTCTTCACTTCACTGGGGGGGGGAGAATTCCTGAAACCCATAATAAGGGCCAACATCAGTGGTGGGTTGCCCCCGGTTTGAACCGGTTCTCCAGAACCGGTAGTAAAACTGGTGGGAGGCTCCACCCACTGACCCAGACGTCATCATAGATGATCTGAAGAGCGTGTGCAGGCGCGATGCAAACCGGTAGTAAAGGTAAGTAGAACCCACCCCTGGCCAACATGTGCTTTGCATGCAAAAGACCCCAAATTGAAGCCTGGGCTTAAGGATGCAGTACTGAATTAAATTCACCATTAGGGTAAATCCATACTTTCTGTGGTCCCTCCATCTTCACTGGTCACCCAGGACTTCTTGAATGTTCTTTTCCAGTTTAAGTCAACTTAAACAGATGGTTTGCTCTACTTCCTTCCAATCTACCAACAGCAACATATCTAACTAGTTACAGGGTAGGGCACATTCTCCCCACCTTTCCAGTCAGCTGGTTGCTGCTTTATGCAACCTTATCCATGGTTTCCAGGCTCCCCTGATAAATCTCATAATCAGTAACTGTGGTTTGTTGGTTTGTTTGTTTTACAGTCTTTGATTGATTCAATGATGACCTATAAGCCAATGATTGTTCTTTCTAGAAATTCATCACTCCATTCAAATCTCACATTTCCCAGTGGGCACTTTTTCATTTTCTGCCCAGATTATATAAAGGATGGTTCCCTTGCTTTCCTACCCCTTATCTGCAAAACTTCCCTGTTCTTTTTTATTTGTTTTTTTAAGCCGAGGTATCGATTCTTCCCTGCTACAAAGTTTGCATGGACCTGTAGTAGAACACAAGAATGAAGGAACAAGCTGTTCTTTTTCATTAATCTTTAGAGCATGAGAACAACGATGACACAATAAGCAGGGGGAGAAAGAAACTTACGGGGGCTGGTAATTGCAGACCAAAAAATGCATGTCAGTATCGTTGATCAGTTCCAGGGTTTCACAGAATGTTGTCTCACAGCCAACCCGCTCACTGGTGGCCCAAACTACCTATAGAAGAAAGCAATAGCCCGTTTATTCATTATCAGACTGAAAAGATGTCTATGAGTGACATCTGCCTAACCTTTACTTGGCTACTGAAACCATTTATCTACATGTCTATGGAGATTCTGAATGGAATCTATGGAGCTGAGGAAGCTTCTTGGATGAGAAGCAAAGCATCTTTAGAGAAAAACCAGAAACTCCAGTTGCCTCTTGAAAAGGCTATTGCTTAATGCATTGTAAGCCGCCCTGAGTCTCCGGAGAAGGGTGGCATATAAATCAAAAAAATTTTTTTTAAAAAAGCACCTTTGGGACATTTATCCGCATATTCTTTTTAGAATCTTTCAGGCAAGTTTTCAAATTGTACATGCATGGATTTTTTTCATACATATTGGCCAATATTTTTACTTAGGTTTTCTAAAGGCTCATTCCTGACCTTCTATTACAATTTACATTGTATGTACGTTTGTACAAATGCATATTTTTCCTAGTGTGAAGCAATATGTTACTAGCAATATGTTACTTCTTTAGAACCATAGACCTGACCTTGTTAGAGATGGTATTTAATCAAGTATTTCTCCATGAGTGGATTGGCATGCAACAATTCCTCTCTCTCCATTCTCAGTTCACTATTTTCATCACAAGATGTGTGATGAAATTAAATCCAATCTGTCTTATTACAAGGATAGGGGTACTCATTGCTCATTCACATTAGGCCAGATTACAGATATTAAGAGTCCTAGAGAATCAGAGGGTCAGAAATTTTCAAGTCCTTGTTTATTATTATTTTCCTTTAAAAAAATACAAATTGATATCATGCAGTGTCCTGTATACTTAAACTCTTTTGGAAAGAAGATGTGGAAGCAACTGCATCTCTTCCAATAAGCAACAATCTCAAGGTCAGATTAGGGGAGTTCTGAGTTCAACTACTCAGTCAGCCTTGAAGTATGATGCCTGCCTACTTTATACAACATTGTGGAGATAGAATGGCAAGAGTCCTTGGCAAGCCTTACATCCTATTGAAATATTAGCATTCGTTCCCAAAAAATATAAGAGCAATATAAAATGAAAACAATCCACCAGGACTAGGGATTCAAATCTGCTGGTAGGCAGGATGATAATTTCATGGCTTTCCCACAAAGGGTCATGGAAATGAACTTTTCCTAACAGCAACAACTGATTGGAGCTATTCAGCTGAATTTAGACTGTGTCATCCATTTCAGTATCACTGAAAATCACCAGGACCCTTTTTCATGAATGTGTGTCATTAGAATTGTAGTCGCAGTTGATGGATACAGCTTGCAGTTGATGGAAGTGAGTTTTTTGTTTTGTTAAAAGTTTTATTATATACTAATCTAACCAGCACTGTGTGCCTCCAAGCATTTTCGAAATGGGAAAAAAAAAAAAACCTTGGTAACTGACAAGTGGATTATGATGCCTCTCACAAGACTAAGAGAACAACTTCTGTACTACAATCTTAGCTGGGAATTAAAATGGAAGTCAGAACCTAAGAAATTCCCTCACTTGCAATCACTGTTAATTCTGCACTCTATAGAATAACTTTTATCTTTCTATCACTTATAAGCTCTCTATCACTCTGGGGCTCTTCATTTCAATAGGTAGCACAATGATACACCATTTCCTAGGCATTGACTACAAGCCTCTACCAAGATATAATTTAGATACCTGGGTGTAATGACCACACATTTCCCCCTCTTTACACGCCAATGTGCTGTAATTATAATACTCGTACTCCTTATACCAATCTTCCATCGCTAACTTTAGATCCAGGTTTCCGGTCATGGCAAAAAGATTCTCGCCTCGGTAGCCACGTTCTTGATTATGTTCCCAAGTACATTTTGTTGAGTAGTTTTTGGCAAAGGCTTCCAGTTCTGAATCCCAGCTCTGAAATCACAATAATCCAAAACATCATCAACATCAAAATCTCACAGAGGGGCAAAGTACAGCAATGAATACCCAGAAAAATGGCCAGAGTCCCAGGCTTCCTAGAAATAGCCATGCTTAATGCCATCAGGGGCTAGAAAAATGGGGTCAAGAATCTCGATGGCTGTTCCCAGTTTCAGCTGGAAATAATCATTTGCACTTCATATGCAGAAAATCATCCATCCAAATTAGTTCATATACCCCACATTCCAGGTTGCTCAGAGACTTTTGGAAAGCTGAAGCTTCTTGAGGTTACAATCTTAATAATTTCTGGCTATAGAAGACAATGAATGCTGGTTCCAGAATTCCTCTAGCAACATTTACAAATTGCAGCCAAAGGTAAATATGTCATTAGAATTCAAGATTATTAAATTATCTCATAATTGTTCCTTTCTCCATGTTATTGCTGAAATAAGGAAGCTGAGAGGATATAAAGAAGAGTTTTCAGATATAAATGCCATATAGAAATATTTGCAATGAGAGCTATAATACTGAAATTCTGCAGGTTTTTATCTTCCTTACTTGATAAGCATTTTTGTTTCTCCATCATGTCATGTAACACAGGCAGTCAACATCTAAATATTTTTATACTTAATCCATGACTATAACAGTCGTACAATATTTTAAATATATTTCAGTATCTTTCCTTACATCCTATGGTACATAATGCAAACTTACACAGTGCCAAATCTATCAAGTGGGTTTACTGAAAACTTGCTGAATGAAGTAGTAATATTTTCGACTATAGCTGTAAAATATTTTTAAAGCCTCCATGGCACTTTCTTCATGTGGAGTAAAGTAGCACATATCCTCCCTCCCCCTCCCCACAAAGGAAAAGAAAAGGAGCGAGGCTAACTCTTGTGCTGAACTAGGTCATTAGACCAAGCCAGGGTTTTATGCAATAGGGCTATGATACATCTAAAAAATGTTCTCTCGGTGCAATAATCTTGCCCACCCATCAGAAAGAGTTTCAGTCCAAAAACTCACAGGCTGCCACCACATTTGACATAATGTGGAGGAAGATTCTCCAGTCAGTAGCTGGTATGAATCCTCTTTTTCCCATGAAGAGGAAAGGATAGTAAACATGCAAACACTCCCTGGCGCAACATGCCTAATTGAACAGCTGTGCTAGACTAGAGCCAATGCAAACATCTGGCATACGTTACTTAATAGAGTCCAACAGCTGTTTGTCAACTGATCCCTCCAGTGTAGTGATAGACAGGCCCTTCTTATCCAGCTGTGCTCCTTAGGCTACTTTAGAAGCAGTTGTCAAGCAGGAAGAACTTTTAAGTATGGAGGATGACTAGGGAATACTATGGTACACAATTCAAGTTAGTGCTCAGTCCTGGACCATATTCTGTTATGCAGTTCCAAGTGTCTCTGGTGCAAAGTAGTCAGGCAAGGCCATAGATTCAGTTGCAGAAGGGTTCGGAAGACTTCCTGAAAGGACTAATTTGCAATGCAGGATGCTCAGCACTTTAGTCAAGAAGGGAATGAAATTTGTTTTAATTTTCAAGTATGTGAAATAACACTGGTATGGATCTGATATTGAACATAGGATTTCTATTCCTGTGATAAATGTGGCTTCTGGTACAGACTATATCATTCTGTAGAACTTGGTCACAGTTATATATATTAGGCAAGATTCAATCTATCAGAATAGGCATGTGTTTAGTGGTGTAAGGGGTTGCAGTGGCTAAGACACTGAGCTTGTCGATCGAAAGGTCGGCATTTCAGTGGTTCAAATCCTTAGTGCTGCATAACAAGGTGAGCTACTGTTACTTGTCCCAGCTTCTGCCAATCTAGCAGTTCGAAAGCACGTAAAAAATGCAAGTAAGAAAATAGGGACCACCTTTGGTGGGAAGGTAACAGAGTTCCATGCGCCTTTGGCATTTAGTCATGCCAGCCACATGACCACGGAGATGTCTTCGGACAGTGCTGGCTCTTCAGCTTTGATCAGCACAACCCCCTAGAGTCGGGAATGACTAGCACATATGTGCAAGGGGAACCTTTACCTTTAGTGATGTAATCTTACCAGTTTGTACTAGATTTCTATGAACTATGGATTTTTCCTTGAAGGGATTGTGTCTCAGTCTCAATGAATACAGTAAGTTCACAGAATCTGTTGCATATCTGATTTTATAAAGGAAAGAAATCCCAAGAGGAATGGAACCAAAAGCAAAGGAACTTATACTTCAGGGAATCATCTATCTCTACAGAAGCCTACTGTTGACTTGCCATTTTCACAATTTCCCTGTGGCCTAAACATAGCACTAGCATATTTGTGCTATATAAATCCAAGTTGCCACTAAATGGCAACAAGATACTGAAAAATCCAACTTTTTAAATAAAATTTAATAGTAGGGAAAGATATAGTACAATAATAATGAAATGCATCCATTGCAATTCAAGACAATAAGTTGTGTCTTTATATAAAATACAAGTCCCTTTTTAAATGAGTTGAACACAGAGCACCTACAATGTATTGCCTGCTCTTTCTTTTCCAACCACAGCCAACTCAAAGGAGGAACATGAGTCAATTCTAGGATTACAGAGATCTGAACACTGCAGCCCTATCCACCAGTAGTGGGTTTCAAATCCCGGTGCTACTGGTTTGCTATCGGTAGTGCGCAAGCACGCGCGCTTGCATCATGAACTTGTGGCGCTTCTGCACATGTGCAGAACGTTTTTGATGACATCTGGGTGGGCGGGCGGAGCCTCCCACCACCGCCACTAGTTTGCCCAAACCGGGGTGAACCGGGAGCAACCCACCACTGCTATCCACCTCCACCACAAAAAGATTGTCCCTGCTGCTCTAGAACAGTCTTCTTCAATATGGATCTCTTCACTCTTCCCATAAACCCTACCAGTGACCAGGGACAAGAGGTAATGGCCTAGGCCTGGAGTATTTGGCAGATCACCTGCGGCCAGCAACAGCTCCCCATCGCCCCGTGCGCTCACATAGAGAGGGCCTATTTGGGGTCCCATTGGCCAAACAATGTCGGCTGACAGCCCCTAGGGAGCAAACCTTCTCTGTGGGCGCACCTACCCTCTAGAACCAGCTCCCCTTGGAGCTCCGGGTAGCTCCCGACATTCCCTCCTTTCGCCGTGACCTTAAAACATGGCTGTTTCACCAAGCTGGCCTGGACTGAATGGGGTTTTAATGGGAATTTTAGTTTTTATTGTTGAATTTTAATTGGACTTGTTGTTTATTGCTGTGAGCCGCCCGAGTACTTGTGGAAAAAGGGCGGCATATATGTCTGATAATAAATAAATAAATAAACAAACAAACAAACAAATAAATAAATATTATAAGAAAACCTGCAGAGACCCAAACTGAGTAACACAGATGTCCAGTGGAAAACTTTTCTTATTTCAAATTATCCTGATTTTATATTGCAAATGAATAAAGACTATATGTTTGCTCATCTGGTTTTGGGCAGGGTTGGGAAGGAAAAAGAAATGGCACAAGGAGATACCAGAGTCAAAAGGTTGATTTTGGGGTGGATACCTTAAGAGAGAGAAAAGCTTCCCACACTTATTCTAGTATAAAACCAGTAGTCCTAAAACTTAAGGTGGCTTTAACAAGAAAGAAAAATAGTTCATTAAAATTAAGCATTTATAAAAGAGATTTGGATCATTGAACCACATTTAGAATTTCAACCATTTCAGGTTGGAACCAGTAGCAGGTGAGACCATTTCTTCAAGAATTTGTGTTTAAAGTAAGCCGCATTTTTACTAGCCAAGTTTTATTCACCTTATTGAAGTTGCAAATTCCTGGAGAAAAGCGATTTTTTACAATTCTGTGTTGTTAAAACCTCTGTAGAAAGAAACCCAGAGCTATAATATACATCAGAACAAGATGATAGAAACCTGACTGCTTGAGATAGTTCTAAAGTAATGCCATTTTTAAATATTTGTACTTGCACAGACTACACACAAATACACACATGGCCATGCATCTTTTTTCTGCCACAAATAAAGAACTGACTCACAGCAGATGAACACTTCAAGCTTGGTCTGTTCCTTCACATAAACTAGGCTATGTGTGGGAGATGGTATCAAAAAAGCCCAAAAATGGCAACTACAACCACACAATTAAAACCCTGGCCCTTTTTTACATGTACCACACATGCAACAACACATAGAAAAGAATACTAAGGTGAAGTAATTGCTACTATTTTAAATGTTTGACCCCATTTCCTACAGATACCACTTTGCAGGCCTTTCGTATGCCTGGGCTATGAGATAATAAAGAGCCGAGGTGGCGCAGTAGTTAGAGTGCAGTATCGCAGCTACTTCAGCTGACTGCTAGTTACAGACAAACAGTTGTCCAATCTCTTCTTAAAAACCTCCACAACTTCTGAAGGCAAGCCATTCCACTGATTAATTGTTCTAAAAAATTGTTCTAAGATACAAGATTAGCATCTTAGATGCTTAGTTCACAGCCATCTGATGAAGAAACAAGAGCAGGAAACAGAGGCACATTAACACTTATTATGAGTAGCCATATATTCATAGCCAGTCCATCTTTTTTTTCTTCTTTACATAATGCTTACTTGGGCACACACATTGTACAGCGAAGTATGTGACACACAACATGCTGGCCTAGAAGAAAATAAATGAATCGGTCATAAACTAGGAAATGCATTGAGGGTAATGTATACTGGTCAAGCTATAAATCAGGTTTAGTTTTTCACCCGAGTCACGAAATATCATATTGTGCCTGAGTCAGTCTGAGATTCAAAATGTCCGGTCCAACTGTAATGGTCAAGTACCACAGTTGGTTTCCAAGAGGGAGTCAATCCAAGTTGTTCAAACTAATTCAAGAGTGAGGAATACACATAACTCATAGCTACAGGTTATCACTATATCTCCTTTCTAGGGAGCCTTTAAATGCCTAAAGCTCTTATTCCCCACCCATGCTCAGTTGAAACTAAACAACCCTAATTTATGAGGTC